CGTTTGCTCTGCAGAATTGATTCTTGACGTTGGTAAATAAAATGCCTCTAAAGGTACAGTATCGTAATTCTGCAGAGAAAAAGTTGGAAAAGAACATCATAATTAATTTGTACAAAAGACAAAGCAAGATCACTGTAAATTTGTCATCTGATCCTGAAATGGTTTATTAAAGCTAACATTTTCCTTTATAGAGTCTTTGTTGATGTTGTGAATGGAGAATATGTCCCTCGTAAATCAATTTTGAAGTCTCGAAGCAGAGAGAACAGTGTTTGTAGCGATACCAGTGAGAACAGTGCTGCTGAGTTTGATGACAGACGAGGAGTTCAGAGGAGCATTAGCTGTGATGAAGCTACTCAGAGTGACAACAGTGAAGGCATACTGGAGGAAGAGGAGGAGGGGCAGCAGCAGTTACCGAAAAAGCTTCCTCCCTCTTCAGGGACAAGCGAGGTACAGTTTTTAATTAATTATTGATTGTTGGCAAGGATAAAAATGAGAAATCTAATGACTGTAGTTGCCTATACCATCAGTTTGATTTCTTTAAAATAATTTTCCAACTCCTACCTACTTTGCTTCAGAAGGACGTTATCAGGTGACAGGTTTCTGTCACAGGCATCTGAGGGGCAGAGGGGAGGAGATGAATCAGGTGGCTTTCCCGAGACCTGAAGCTCTTCCGTAAAGATCTGACAAAGTAGTCACTTACCAGTGTTACTTGAAGCCAGCATCATGTCTACTAGGTCATCCTGAAAATTTCACTGCAGGATATACAGCAGGATTAAAAAAAAAAAAAAAAAGAGAGAAAAATCTGTGCAGTATAGTTGATGAAAGGGAAGAGTTGATTCTCAATAACCTGTGTTGCACAGCTACTAGACAGCTAGTTTCCAGGTGGTGTTTTTAAGTTTTAAAACACAAATATCAGCTGAGTTATTATTTGGACTTGCTAAAGGCAGAGGAATCGCCCTGTGGAGTGAAGCATCATGCCTCTACTCATCCTATTCCGGACTAGGGCCATTAATGATCCCAAACAAATCTGTTTTCACACGTTTGGAAAGTTCAGGGCTTCATCATAAAGGAAAGAGACTGTAGGACGTAAGGGAAAATGTACAGTTGCTTAGTGACTGGATGAGTACAAGAATTAAATGTAGCTGCTGCCCTGAAATCATGGCATAGAGTATGCTTCATTTTTATTTCTTAAGAACTTAACTGATTTTTTCGAAGTAGATGAAACTTGAGTTTACAGTAGTTCCCAACGCAATAGGCAAGTTCAATGAAAACACTACTTTTAGAAAAATGTCAAAAATATGACAAGAAATGGATTCCTCATAAAAGCTATTGTTGATCATCATTTTTCATACAAACGGCAGCAGATGAATCCAGGCAGGATGTGAAGATTCATGGTGGAGGATCCATCTGTAGTTAGCACTTCATCTTGTGTACTTTCTGGAATATATTTGCTATATTTTTATAAAACATCTAAGTACACTTTAGATGTTACCCATTAGCCCATTTTCTGAATATGGCATGATTATTCTCTGCAATATAATGTATTTTCTAAGGAACTGAGGGAGAGTGAGCGAAACACTCCAGTTCGACATGCCTTCTTAAACACTGCTGGTTCGCTTTTGGTTGGTTTTGTGAGTGTTTGAAATACATTATTCCTCCATTACCATTTGCAACACGCTAACTTTTTTTTTCTTTTTGTTTCTAATTTTACCACGATCTTCTTAGGTTGTATTTTGCTTACCTGTTTTTGAAAACGAGCGTGTTGTTAGAACAGCGCGGTTGTGTACAGGCAGGGCTTTAGGCATACCTTGGCTATTGGAGCAGAAAACAAAAAACACGCTGCTTTTTTGCAGGTCCTGCAAGAAAAGAATGGCTGGTTTGTTTTGCTTTGTTTTTCTTGGTAACTGAGTTATGAAAAAGCATAGTTAATAAATCTGGTGTGCATTCCTTTGTGCCCAGTATGAGCATCAAACCTTGGATGTAAACCGCTCCCCCTTGTCCTTAGGCATTCTGAATTTTCTGTTTTCAATACATAGTAGGGCAATTTGTTCTTAAGTATGTTTATGAAAAGTAGTTATGAGTTGCCTTTTTTCCAGTGTTTTCCAAGAATCACAGTCATTTTTTAGCTAAGCTGAAAAGGATGAAGTCGTATAATTGGCTGCGTATAAATTATCATTCTTAAACACTAAATGTTTTTATTAGACCTTTTATAGATAGAAATAGTTGGAAGCAAGTTTGCCATTCTCTTAAGTATAAATTGCTTTCACCATTTTTTGATCATATTTGGTAAGGAGAAAAGAACAAACAAAATACGTGCTTGCCAATTTGTATGCACTGTGTCAGCTTGATGCAATTAGAAGATATTAAGTCATAAAATATGACGTATGATGGAAATGCTGACATACTCCAACTTTGCAGAATCTCTCCGTTTCTTATCCAAAATGAAACTATATATTACATCATCTGTTTTATTTCTTGAGCATGTGTCAGTGAGGAAGCAAATTTTTAGATCATTTATGCAGTAGGAATGAGATGAAGTAGTACTTTTAAGACACTGTCATTCAGTCATCTTTGAACAAGCTATATTTTGAGGTTAATTACAATTTGGTTACTTATGCAAGGAACAATCATTGATTTAAAGATATTTCTTTACTTTTGATTAAAAGAAATAACAATCCTAATCAGGCTAATATAGGGTAATGACCTTATGGGCATAGCTTCACATTTGCATTTTATTAGCTCATTTTGAGTATTCTCTTCTGTTGTAGGCATTTTCTGGAACTGTTATAGAAAAGGAGCCTTTGTCTCCCTCCTTAATACCACACCCAGTCGTTGCTCACCCAGTCTTGCCTACCATTCTGGAGCGAAAATCGGAGGAAGTTTTGTCTGAAGCATCAGAGGAAACTACAAAGAGGATTTCAAAATTCAAAGCTGCCAGAATGCAACAGACTAACTAGGTCCTGCCTAGCCAGCCGAAGTCAGAGTGCTCACGCCTAGTTTCACATCCGTTGAAGTTACGTAAAGCTGTTACACGTTACACCTAGCTAGTTAAAAGGGTGTCCTATGTTAATTTGGCATTGGTTATCTTTTAAATGTTTATTGGCAACATTAAAAAAAAAAAAGTTCAGTGTTTGAACACTTGAGTATTCATCTTATTTTGTCGATTTCCCTGTGTGCTGTCAGCACCTTTGTATATGTTTGCCTTACGATAGCAGCACTTGGGTTCTTTTTCAAAAACTGTTCCTTACATACATTGTTTTTGTGTTTAAACCTAAATACAGGCAGTTTTGTGCCAGCTGTGATGTTCTACACACCATATGGACCATTTTAAGGAAACTTTTCACATTTCAAATAGATTCACCAATTATATTGCATTACTTGCTTTAGCATTTTAAGACACACTTGTATTCACATTGCTGTAGGTTTTGCAACTAGGTGTCTGCTAAAAGTTTTTTTCCTTCTTTCAAACCTCTCTGATATCTCACTGTACAGATCTATAAAACGCTGGGTTCATGTACATTGCAGGGAAGTTTCTTTGATGGAAAAGGGTATTTTGTAAAATTAAATTTTCAGTAAAAAAGCCATGAAAGGTGTGTGTTTTTTGTTGCTTAACTACTAATTTGGAAACAACATGAACTTGCATTTCTAGCTTGAAGTGTTTACTACCACATGGACGTAAAAGCAGTCCATTCTCTTCTGCCATTGTGTTTTAACCTCCTGCTAATGAATGTCCATGGAAATTGAATGCTCTTAAGGAGAGAAGCATAAACTCAGACTCTGATTACAAAATCTCCTACTTCTTTTGTATACTCAGAAAACATTGTAATTGTCTTGGGAATGCCCAGAGGGAGTCAGCACTAAGGAAAAATGTCTTAATGCTTCAACTTTATTTCAAAATGCAACAGCGCTGCAGCACTTGGGGTACAGTTTTGTGTCTCCTTCTCCTGACAGAGAGCAATCCTGGCTTTAGGAGTCCCTGCCCAGCAGCTCCTTCCTGTCGTCTTGCCATCCTCTCCCACAGCTTTTCTCTGGGCTGCCCACCCCTTGAATGATAATGGGTGATGGAGCTGGGTTTAAAAAACAAACTACTAGGTTTGGGGTTTTTTTTTCAACAGTTGTGTGTGATTTTTTGAAGCTAGCGAGTCTCCTCATCTCTTTCTCAGCTTGTCTGTATCAGCAGTTAGAAGGGTAATGCATTGAGCTGAGGGTGGGAAAACATGGGCAGAGCGCATGGGGAGCTGGATACCTTAAACTGATGTTACTCTCCAGCTGACATCATCAAACCACAGCCTAAAACATGAGGCAAAAAGACTTGGGAGGGAGGTGTAAGGAAGGATTTGCTTTTGGCCACGGTTCTGTGGCATTGTAAATGTGCAGCCTGAGAACCACCAGCATCTGGTTTTCCAGACCTTGGCCATCCATGAACAGGGCATCAGCCAACGCTGCTTCCTCACCTTCCCTTAAAATGACCACGTCTTGTGCTCATATCCTTTGCTCTCAGGTCACAGCAGATAGTGCAGCTTCGTGCATCAAAACAGAATCACCAATTCCCCCTTTTTCAATGCTTTTTTTTTCTCTCTGTGCTTAAAAGGGAGGTGGAGGCATTGGGGCTTCTTTTTTTAAGGTGACTTTTAGAAAAGCCTGCACTCCATCTAACTGATGTTATCTGCTGCATGTTCGGGAAGGCGGCATAGCTCCACAGGCAGAAAACGCTGGCCCATTGCGCGGCAGCAGGAGGGCAAGAAGGGGCCGATAGCTGGGTCCCTGCCGGGGGGAGCAGCCCCTCCGCGGTACGGAGCAAATTGTGTTTTGCTGAAAGAAAAACTGAAGGGAAAGTTGTGCAGCCCTTCTGCGCCCGAAGCTCACCGGCTGGGAGGGGGCAATCTCTGTTCTAAGCGGATCCTGAGAATCGTGTCGAAAGTGTTAATGATTAACTTGATTCATGCTCAAATGCGGATTTTTTTTTTTTAAAGCATATTGCATTAGTACTAAAATAAGCCATCAATGCCAGTCCACCCTCTATTCACGGCTAAATATTTAAAGGAGGTTATTTATAGCTTCTTTAATGAATTCTTGGCTAAACAAAATGAAATTATGTCCTAGAAAAGTAGAAGCTATTTTGTAACCAGAACAGTGCAACTGTAAAATATAGTTCCATGAATATGTATTTTAAATAACAAGGGGTTGAGATCCAAGACTACCAGACATGGGTAATTAGAGGGAAAAGGAGAGAAAGGGAGAGAGAAACCCCTTTAAAAAGATTTATTTAGATATCTTCTGAAATACTTCCCACTTCTAGTTACTTCAACAAAACCAAATGCCCCTTGTCACCATAGATCAGTTTCAAATCAAAATTAATTCTTTGCTTGTTTTCTTTTTTCCCCTCCCCTTTTTTCACATCCTTGCTCACGGGGAAAATGTAGGATAAATGCACCTTGGATTTTAATGAATTATGGCCTCGGTTCAGGGAAGCATCCTTACTCAGGAATGCACTTTGGCATGTGCTTATGTCTCAAAGATTTTGCAAAGAAGAATGGATTTAACCACATGCTTAAAACTAAGCACATGAGTGTTTTCCCTAATAGGGAGCCTGGATGTGTCTGTGCTCTTTCTGCAGTATATTTAATTGTCAGAGGGTTTGCAGGCTGGAATGAGCCTTCATCTTCAGTCTCTTCACTTGAGCTTTACCAGTAGATTCTCTGTGCGGTGCCTAGAGCAAGAAGAGACGGCTGTAGAATTTCTGGAGAATGTTTGCAAATGCTAAACAAAAGAAAAAATCAATCTACCAAAGCAGATAAAAACCTAGACAGCGGAAAAGAAATGATCACATGAAGGCCCATCTCAGCGAGGACTTAAAATTTGCTTTTTGTGCAACACTGAAGCCAACAAGTGGCTGCAGCTGACCACCAATGCACAGATGAAGCAACGGTGCCCCAAATTGGAGGCGTGTAGGGTTCCTGGTAGTAAATCTGTCAAGATGAGTGTCTTTTTGCCCCCGGTACTGCAGTTAGAGATTTTATTCACTTAAATAATATGGGTATAGTTTAATCAATTTCTGAAACACCCTTCATGGCTTCCTGCTGGCTCCGCAAGGGCTCCTCGTTTTCCAGGGAGCGCTGCCGAGGGCTCCGGCCATGGGGCTGAGGATGGGGGTTTTGGTTCTTCCTGGTGTTTCCCAAGAGGTTCTGCATGGCCTCAGCAGAAAGAATGTGGCCCGGCCGGGGCTGGGGTGGCTTTGACGGCTGGTGGCTGAGGTGGCACAGGAACCTGCGTGCTGGAAGGAACCCTGTCCCCAGCTCCGTCCCGATGTCCCCAGCCCGCTCAGGCACAGGCGAGTGGTGGCAGCTGACAGTGCAACCAGGTACGGCTTCACAGGCAGGGGGAAACGCAGCAGGAGAAAACAGCGCGGAAAGACATCGCTGCACAGGATGTCTTTGGTCCACAATGAGAGAGGTGGCAGCTGCCTGTGTGGGTGCTGGACGGCCATGGGGACAAGTTAATGTGCCCCAGCCACACTGTGTTGCACCATGCCGTGCCTTGCCATGCCATGCCATGCCCCACTGCTGCTCCACACAGCCCTTTGCAGGGCCATGATTGCACCAATTATGCACTGCAAATTAACTGGCTTCACTTCTCTTCCTCATTGGGAGGCAAATTTGACTCTCTAGTCTTCTTTAATTGGCCACAAGTAGGTTGGGCACCTGCCTGTACCTAGAGAAGGGGTCGTGTATGGGGACACACAGCCACACACATCTTCCCCTCGGAAGCTGGGGCAGTCCAGCCTGGAGGCGCTGAAGGAAAAGGCAGTGGACATCATGCATTGAGCGCGGCCGGGTCCGTGCCGGTAGCTGCAGGCCTGGCCTGGGCCGGTGGGGACCGTGATGTGCGTTTGGAGGTAAACTGGATTCCCTTCCCTCTCCCTCCTGTAAGACTAGTTGCACTTAGCACTTTTCATTGCTCACTTAGAGCATCTAAAGCAGCAGATTTTTGTGTGTTTCGAGAGCGTCTAAACCAGCTGTTTTAGCTGTTCATTTTAACAAAGTGATTTATGTTGCAAAAAATGAGCTGGGATTAAAAGAAATCAGATGTGTGTATTTGGTATGCAATATTTTTGTGTTACAAATAGCTCCGTCCTAACCCACATTAACCCCACGGTACGTGAATTTTGCCAACTCCCGCTGTGTCTTTTAAATCAGCTCCAGCAAATCACTCCCAGCCTCCCCGGTCCCCGAGCGATCCCGCTTTCCAGGAGGGGTCCCGCGGCGGGGAGCGGGGCCGCCCGGGGCCGGGGC